AGAAGCCCCAATCCTGCATTCTTAAATCCTTTTTTACCATAACCGTATGGTTTTTTAAATTTGCGACGGAAATAGTCGAATTAAACATTTAAAATCCTAAAGGCTTTAAAAGATCCAATAAACCATTCATAAATTCAAGATTTTGGGCTCAAAATTTGGATGCTTTGACACCCTAAAGGTTTTAAAGGTCTAATATGCCCATTCTCAATTATAAAATCCTTTATGTGAAGATTGTTGGCTCAAAAATATCCTAAATTAGCTAAAAAATTTAAAGATTCAGATTTTAGAAGCCCAAATCCTGCATTCTTAAATCCTTTTTTACCGTAACCGCACGATTTTCCAAATTTGCGACCGAAATAGTCGAATTAAACGTTTAAAATCCTAAAGGCTTTAAAAGATCTAATAAACCATCCATAAATTCAAGATTTTTGACTCAAAATTTGGAAGCTTTAACACCCTAAAGATTTTAAAAGGTCTAATCTGTCCATTCGCAATAATAAATCTTTTATTTGAAGATTGTTGGCCCAAAAAGGTCCTAAATTGGCTAAAAAATTTAGAAATTCAGATTTTAGAAGCCCCAATCCGGCATTCTTAAATCCATTTTTTACCATAACCGCATGAATTTTGCGACGGAAATAGTTTCATTAAACATTTAAAATCTTAAAGGTTTTAAAAGATCTAATAAAGCATCCATCAATACAAGGTTTTTTGCTCAAAATTTGAAAGCTTTAACACCATAAAGGTTTTAAAAGGTCTAATATGTCCATTCTCAATGATAAAATCATTTATTTGTAGATTGTTGGCTCAAAAAGGTCCTAAATTAGCTAAAAAATGTAAAGATTCAGATTTTAGAAGCCCCAATCCTGCATTCTTAAACCCTTTTTTACCATAACCGCATGATTTTTCAAATTTGCGACGAAAATAGTCGAATTAAACATTTAAAATCCTAAAGGCTTTAAAAGATCTAATAAACCATTCATAAATTCAAGATTTTGGCTCAAAATTTGGAAGCTTTAGCACCTTAAAGGTTTTAAAAGGTGTAATATGTCCAATCTCAATGATAAAATCCCTTATTTGAAGATTGTTGGCTCAAAAAGTTCCTAAATTAGCTAAAAAATTTAAAGATCCAGATTTTAGAAGCCCCAATCCTGCATTCTTAAATCCTTTTTTACTATAACCTCACGATTTTTCAAATTTGCGGCGGAAATAGTCGAATTAAACATTTAAAATCCTAAAGGATTTAAAAGATCTAATAAAGCATCCATAAATTCAAGATTTTTGGTTCAAAATTTGGAAGCTTTAACACCCTAAAGGTTTTAAAAGGTCTAATATGTCCATTCTCAATTTAAAAATCCTTTATTTGAAGATTGTTGGCTCAAAACGGTTCTAAATTAGCTAAAAAATTTATAAATTCAGTTTTTAGAAGCCATAACCGCATGATTTTTCAAATTTGCGACGGAAATGGTCGAATGAAACATTTACAATCCGAAAGGCTTTCAAATATCTAATAAACCATTCCTAAATTCAAGATTTTTGGCTCAAAATTTGGAACCCCAAAGGTTCTAAAAGGTCTAATATGTCCATTCTCAATGATAAAATCCTTTATTTGAAGATTGTTGGCTCAAAAATATCCTAAATTAGCTAAAAAATTTAAAGATTCAGATTTTAGAAGCCCCAATCCTGCATTCTTAAATCCTTTTTGACCATAACAGCATGATTTTTCAAATTTGCGGCGGAAATAATCGAATTAAACATTTAAAATCCTAAAGGATTTAAAAGATCTAATAAAGCATCCATAAATTCAAGATTTTTGGCTCCAAATTTGGAAGCTTTAACACCCTAAATGTTTTAAAGGTCTAATATGTCCATTCTCAATTTAAAAATCCTTTATTTGAAGATTGTTGGCTCAAAACGGTTCTAAATTAGCTAAAAAATTTATAAATTCAGTTTTTAGAAGCCATAACCGCATGATTTTTCAAATTTGCGACGGAAATGGTCGAATGAAACATTTACAATCCGAAAGGCTTTCAAATATCTAATAAACCATTCCTAAATTCAAGATTTTTGGCTCAAAATTTGGAACCCCAAAGGTTCTAAAAGGTCTAATATGTCCATTCTCAATGATAAAATCCTTTATTTGAAGATTGTTGGCTCAAAAATATCCTAAATTAGCTAAAAAATGTAAAGATTCAGATTTTAGAAGCCCCAATCCTGCATTCTTAAACCCCTTTTTACCGTAACCGCATGATTTTTCAAATTTGCGACGAAAATAGTCGAATTAAACATTTAAAATCCTAAAGGCTTTAAAAGATCTAATAAACCATTCATAAATTCAAGATTTTGGCTCAAAATTTGGAAGCTTTAGCACCTTAAAGGTTTTAAAAGGTGTAATATGTCCAATCTCAATGATAAAATCCCTTATTTGAAGATTGTTGGCTCAAAAAGTTCCTAAATTAGCTAAAAAATTTAAAGATCCAGATTTTAGAAGCCCCAATCCTGCATTCTTAAATCCTTTTTTACTATAACCTCACGATTTTTCAAATTTGCGGCGGAAATAGTCGAATTAAACATTTAAAATCCTAAAGGATTTAAAAGATATAATAAAGCATCCATAAATTCAAGATTTTTGACTCAAAATTTGGAAGCTTTAACACCCTAAAGATTTTAAAAGTCTAATCTGTCCATTCGCAATGATAAAACTTTTATTTGAAGATTGTTGGCCCAAAAAGGTCCTAAATTGGCTAAAAAATTTAGAGATTCAGATTTTAGAAGCCCCAATCCGGCATTCTTAAATCCCTTTTTTACCGTAACCGCATGAATTTTGCGACGGAAATAGTTGCATTAAACATTTAAAATCTTAAAGGTTTTAAAAGATCTAATAAAGCATCCATAAATTCAAGGTTTTTGGCTCAAAATTTGGAAGCTTTAAGACCCTAAATGTTTTAAAGGTCTAATATGTCCATTCTCAATGATAAAATCCTATATTTGAAGATTGTTGGCTCAAAAATATCCTAAATTAGCTAAAAAATTTAAAGATTCAGATTTTAGAAGCCCCAATCCTGCATTCTTAAATCCTTTTTGACCATAACAGCATGATTTTTCAAATTTGCGGCGGAAATAATCGAATTAAACATTTAAAATCCTAAAGGATTTAAAAGATCTAATAAAG